ACGGCGGGGTCCAAAAATCGTTCTATAGGAATATACCAATATGTGCATGTGTTTAACCTTGAACTAATTTTCTTTAGTTAGAATACTTAATGCACAACAAAGCATAAGAAAATAACTAAAACAGAACATTACCCGAACCAGAATACCTTAAAGGTCAAACCTGATAAATTAAAACCTTTTATAGACTTCGAGAAATAATTAACAGTGTATAAATAATCAACGCATTACTTGACGCTAATATGATTTAACAGAAAAATACAGATTCATTTGACAGGCTTAGGTGGTACCTTTAAAAGACCGGCTTGATTTTAAGCTTTCGACGTCAAAAACAAAAATCGGCGACAGTATGGTTAGAGCTAGCTCAGGAAACAAAAAACTATTAAAATCAGATAAAAAATTTCGTCCAAATTTAATTGTGCCCGAAACTCAAAGCTTACAACATTTTCAAAATTAAATGAAAACTTTTTACCTTGATTTCATTTCTTCTGGTTCGTATTTAAAACATGACTTCGCACTATCATTTCACACAAGTTCACTTCTATTTAATCTCTAGTCTTTGTACTTTAAAATTCTTTACAAACTTTACTCAACTAGAGCGAGTATATGAAGAAATCGTTCTAATTAAACAATTTTACGTCGTTCAATGTTGTTACTTTCTACTCCATTTTGTTTGTAGATGATGCCGTAGGGAGAGTGTAGATCCCTAACACAGGTTTTGGAACAGAACTGTAGACATTAAACTGCGGATACTAGTCTCAAACAAAAGACTGCCCGGGCCGGGAACAGACTGTACTAGAGCTTGGGAACCTAGGAGGGGAGGGGGGAGGACAACTGTAGACGGGAAAGGGGAGGAATTTTAAAAAATCCAGCCGCATCAGCAAAAAAGCAGAACTCAAACCATTTTTTCAATTCTACTTAAGATTAATACTTTGTGTGTTGAATTCTTAAACTGTTTTACAATAACATTTTTGACAAATTTGACTGAGTATTGCATCTTGAAATATTACAACGTCTAATGATTATTCAATTACTGACTCATTATACTAAATCCATCTTAAAATCACTCATTAACCAACAATGAGGGAGGGAAGGCAACCTCCCCCCACAGCTTCCGAACCTCATTTTACCTATTTGCGGCAGTGCACGTCCCCATTGGGAGCTTCCAAACTTCCCCCAAACAAGGGGAGGAAGGCTGCAGCCACAACAACTTCTCGTCCGAGCCACAATCTCCTCTGAACCACCTCAAAATCCTTGTCCTTCGTTTATTATGTGTTGGAAAGTTTCTAATTCTTGAAGATAAAACTATTTTTAACAAACCTGGCCACATTAGGGCATAAAATATGGATAGACTAATTTGCAATGATTAAATCATGTTTTGAAGCTTTAGAGACATGAGAATGACGTCAAACTTTATTTAGGTAAAACTTAAGACTCTTGGACCTCTGTAATGGCCAACCTTCACAATATGAAATAAATAGCAAAATATTTGACATACCTATGCCTATCATTTTCCCCACGGAACCACCTGGAAAAATCTGTGGTTTTCACTATAATTAAGATTAAGATTAAAGTTCTATAACCTATTTGCATCATTCTACACCAAGAATATCTAAAAATGTGCATAAAAAGGTGAACATTTTTAAGGACATAGAACTAAAAAACTTTAATTCAATTGAAACTATTTTTTTTAATTTACTAAAATTCAATATTTCATTTATGGCCCGATTCTTAAAGAATTGTTTTATCTTGGAGGACTAGACACTTATAAAAAATAATATTGGAAGGACGAGAGTTAGACGTGGCTCGGACGAGAAAATGAGGAGAATGTGGCTCAGGCTAGAAATTGTTGTGGCTGGCCTTCCTCCCCTCTCCAAACAATCTACCGGGAATGATCTCCCATTTAAAATACGATAATTTAAGCATGGTATTAACTAATGGTCAGACTGGAAAAACAAAAACAACATTGGATTTTAGGTGTTGAAGACGTTGTAGGGATGTTTAACACACACCTATTTTACATCCTCATGACCTTTATTTTGAAGATAAAGTGTTGTCATTTCAACTTTGAAATATAGGTGGTGAGGACATAAAAAGGTGTGTGCTAAAGGTCTCTGCAACGTCAAAAGACCAAAAATTTGACGTTCAAATGAACTTCAAACAAAATCTTCAAAGTTTTGTTTTTCCAGCCCGACTACCGTGCTTAAATTGTCGAATTAATCCTGTTTTAAGTAGAAGTTGTCAATTATAAAAGGCAGATCATTTCGCGGAAGACTGTTTTGAGAGGTTCAGAAGCCCTGTGGCGACGCGCACTGCCGGAAGAAAATGAGGTTCGGAAGCTGTACGGGGGAGGTTGCCTTCCCTTCCTCACCCCCTTCCCTGTGAAAAATTCATGTTATTTTAAAGATGTATTCAGGAAAGTGTTGTAATAATGGAAATGTAAAATATTTACGCGAGCTGTTCTATTTCCCGGGTTTAGTTGAGGATTAAGAGGCCTTATCGAGGTTGTATTCAGGGAAGTGAAGGCTAAAGAATTTTATTCAGGGAAGTGAAGGAAAAAGAGTTTATCCAGAAAAGTGCAGATCATAAGAGAAGTGAAGGATAAAGCGCAGTTGTATTGGGAAGTGAAGGATAAAGAGTTGTATTCAGGGAAGTGAAGGTTGAAGAGTTGTATTCAGGGAAGTGAAAGATAAAGAGTTGTATACAGGGAAGTGAAAGATAAAGAGTTGTATACAGGGAAGTGAAGGATAACGAGTTGAAGTGAAAGTTTAACAGGAGAAGAAGAGAACGAAATGAAAGAAGAGGAAGACAAATAAAGAAATGAAGATAAGGATTAAATGATTGAATAAATGGAAAGGATAAATTAAAGATAATGAATATTCATATTAATAAAATCCGAAGAATTTGAACAAAATAAATTAAAACAAAGCTGCAGAATAAAAATTGAATGCAAAAGAGGATAATCAGAAAAACATATCATTTCATGTATTTTAGAATAAATTTTTGCATTAAGGTGACAAACCTGTAATTTAGAATAAATATCTGAACTCTGAATCATGTCATGGAAACTATTAAACTTAGGAAGAAGGAAAGACAATCTAATTAAAGGTATTGTTATACAACTCATACAACATGACAAATATAAACTAAACACGATCTAAACCTTCTAGTTGGAGAAATACAGAGTATACAAGATCAAAGTATAGATATTGATGGCGCATTTCCAGAATCGCCAGAGGAACCTTCAGATGGACAAAAGTCACAAATAATACGGATCCCGTGATTCACAACACGAAACTTTTGACGTTGAACGGACTGTAAACTTAATTTCAAGTGGTCCCTTATTTCAGGTCATATATACGATTCACAACGGTAGTCTCTTTGATGACCGAGAAAAAATAGAAGAAAAAGGAATTGAGTCTTTGACTTAAGCTCAAATTTTCGAATCACTATATCTTTGCAACCTGATGGTGTAAACCTTTAATATTTCAAACTAAGATTATTTGATCTAACAGAATTCATAGTTTGAAATATCTAAGGTCTGCAACACAGGGTTGCAAAGATACAGGGATTATACAATCAGTGTTTGTGGCAAAGACTTAATTCCTTTATTTTCATATATATATATATATATATATATATATATATATATATGTCGAAATTAAGAATAAATAAGGGTTCTTAATGGTCTTCATATATTTTCAAACTCAGAGAAATACAACTGAATCTTCATATTTTAGTTTTTAAAGAAAAGAGTTTCCTTCTCGTATACAGCAAAACAACGTATAATGGGAGTTTTTTGGATTTCGTTCCTATTCAAACTTTATTTATTTTTTTCAAACATGAAAATGGGCTTAAAAGAAATGCACGACTGGCCACAAGAATGGACACTGATATTCTAGACTATGAAAGTTAATCATCAAAATTTAGAGTTTAGATGCACAACATCGACTTTTTAAGGTCGCAACGGCTTGGGCTCCGTGGGCTGTGGCCTGTGGTTTTACCTCACCAAGTCAATTATACTTTTTTTGTATCTCTTCAACTGCAACGCGTTTTTTCATAGCTTAAGTTTAAAAAGGAGTAATTGGCAAAATACAACTCGATTTTTTCCATAAGATAATGCACATCTTGGTTTGCAGTGGAGATTTTATATGCATAAAATTTAAATATTTTGTAAATTGTCGCATGTATTTTTCCTGCAAAAATATATCGTTATATTTAGAACAATGTGTTGAAAATATTTGTAATACACAAAAATAGCGATCTGCACAGTGCACAGTTATAAACATTATGCATCAACTATTAAGACCGGACTAACTTTGAAGACACATAAACTTGGTAATGGTTTGACCCAACCAAACAACTTTAACTGTTTTGGTATCGTTAAATATAAAAATGTTCGGGTTAGAAGAAACGCAAAACATTTCTTAGTTTGCATTGCAAAATTGGAACCATCTTGAAAATCTGCTGAGCGAAAACAGAGATTTCAAAAACTTTGAGAAGAGGTTACAAAGCCACAATAGAATGATGTATTGATGTTACAATAATCGTTTTGCTTTATTTTTTATCCAATGAACTTGACAAAAGGAAGTATAAGTCAAATTCTTACGATATAACTGGTACGACTTTCTGACCTCGTTCAGGGGTGGATTAGAGGGGGTTGTCTGGGCCCCCTTCCCTGAGCTCATTAAGGGGGGGGGGTCGCCCCCCCTAGGAAATTCACAATATTAAATAAAAGCAGCAAGGGCTTAAAGATACAATGAAAAAAGAATTGAATAAATGACCTGAAATACCTGTTAAAATTGTTTTCTCATATTATTATTTACTAGCTTGTGAACCCAGCGCTGCCCAGATTACTAAAAGTTACTCATGCCGCTTACCCGCACTTGATCGATTTTACCGGCAAACTAAATGTTTGCTATTAAATTCGATCCACTCAACTTAGAATCTAAAAACCAAGCTAAGAACTTTCCGTGAGTCTCCCGAGTTCCCCAATCAACATTTGAGGCAAATCGGTCCAGGATCGTTCCTCAGTTATGAGTGGACAAACAGAGATTACAACTTTATAAATATAGATACTAATATGTCTGTAAAATTACAGATAGAAAGTAGGAGAACTGGAGTTTAAAGATAGAAAGTAGGAGAACTGGAGTTTACAGATAGAAAGTAGGAGAACTGGAGTTTACAGATATAGAACTACTAGAGTTTACAGATATAACAGGAGAACTGAATTTTATTGATAGAAAGTAGGAGAAAACTAGATTTTTCAGAAAGTAATTGGGAGAACTGGAGTTTGTAAGCTTCAATATTTTTATCAAATAAGAAATTGGAATTTACTGCTTTTTGTTAAATTTAAAGGGGGGGGGGGCGGGGGCCAGGGAGGGGGCCAAAGAAATTGAGTTATTGTAACAAACTCTGATTTTCTAATACCTATATTTTTTCTACCTGATGGTGTATAACCTTTGATATTTCAAACTTGGATTTTTTCATGTAACAGAATTCATAGTTTGAAATATCTAAGGTCTTCGGCATTTGATTACAAAGATATAGGGATTAGAAAATCATAGTTTGTGACAAAGACTCAATTCCTTTGCGCGCACTTAGGGCTCCCCTCTGAGATAATGGTTAAATCCGTCCCTGACCTCGTTGCTCCTCTAGTTTTGCTGAGTAGAAGAACAGTAATTTTATTAAAAATATTTAAGCATAATTGTTCTTCTCAGTAGCTCTTCAATGAGAGGAGTTATGATATGATCTCTACAACATATAATATTTCAATCTTCCGTGCAATTACTTTAGTTTGACGTGGATTTCATGTTTAAAGAATCGGAGAGAAACCGAATTTTTTAGTACGTAGAGGGCAGTTTACATCATTTCGCAAAATCTCCCTTTAAGTTGAGTAATTTTTATCTGACCCTCCATGAAAAGATAGCAATGTGCGATTTACAACGGTACCCTTGAAACTTTGTCGGATCAATTATAAATCAGATATCCATGTTTAATTTTGTTTCTTTAAACTGTTTATTTTCATTTTCGGTCTCTCTGCGTATAGTGTCTTGCATATTTCTCGCTTGTAAGAAGCAATGGAGAAACTCCCAGAAATAAACACTTTTCGAGTCATAAAAACGACGGTATCTTCCACATTATTAAACAGATAAAGGTTTCAATATGGCGTTGTTAATAGGGCGTTGTCATCTTTGAATAGAGGGTATATCTTGTAATTACGCTTACAGTCCCTTTTAATAAGATCGCCAGGTCTTCCAAATAAGTTTATTTCTGTTTGCTAAAATGTTTCTCTGAGAATGATAAAATGTATCCTATAAGATACTCCGGAGTAACGATGAAGAGGCAAGGAAGGAATGAATCCCAATAAAATTGCAGAGATCAGTGATCAGACGTTTCCGAGTCCAGGTGACAGTGCAGACCTAGATTTAGTATTTAAATCAGGAATTCACATTTTTATTTCAGTTTACTTCAACTCCTTCAACCCTTTCCTTCATTTATTACTGCAATTAACAATTTAAAAATTTAAGTCTGGGTTTACTTTAAAAAGCAAAAGCTTGAACAATTTAATCAATTTCGTATCATTTCATTTGTAGTTTTCATGTCAAATAGTCATGCGTGCTTTTTAACATAAACATTTTTGGTATAATTTAACACTTTTTTATTTTCAATCTATTCACATAACCTAATCACGACCTCAAAACTTCCATTTTATCTTTTATTTTAACTGTAATTCTATCCATTATCTAAGAATCCAACGCTATCCATTATTATAACCCAAATTATTTCAATTATAATCCATATCTATTATTATCACTCCAATTTAATCCTTTAACTCAACTTTAGACGTATTTGTTATTTTAACTCAAAGCCTATTCATTATCATCATACAAAACCAGAAACTATTCTTTAATATAACTCTAATTTTACCCTTTACTGTCTTTAATCTTATCCTTTTGTGTAAGTTTAATCTTATCCTTTAGTGTAACTTCCATCATATCCTTTACTGTAACTTCAATCTTATCCTTTAGTGTAACTTCCATCATATCCTTTACTGTAACTTCAATCTTATCCTTTAGTGTAACTTCCATCATATCCTTTACTGTAACTTCAATCTTATTCTTTTGTGTAAGTTCAATCTTACCCTTTACTGTAACTTCAATCTTATCCATTTGTGTTACTTTAATCTTATCTTTTACTGTAACTTTAATCTTATCTTTTAGTGTAACTTCAATCTTATCCTTTAGTGTAACTTCAATCTTATCCTTTAGAGTAACTTTAATCTTATGCTTTAGTGATACTTCAATCCTATCCTTTTGTGTAACTTCAATCTTATCCTTTCTTGTAACTTCAATCTTATCCTTTATTGTAACTTCAATCTTATCCTTTCTTGTAACTCCAATCTTATCCTTTCTTGTAACTTCAATCGTATCCTTTATTGTAACTTCAATCTTATTCTTAACCGTACCTTCAATCCTATCCTTTACTGTAACTTTAATCTTATCCTTAGTGTAACTTCAACCTTAACCTTTAGTGTAACTTGAATCTTATCCTTTATTGTAACTTCAGTCTTATCCTTTAGTGTAACTTCAATCCTATCCTTTTAGTGTAACTTCAATATTATCCTTTATTGTAACTTCAATCTTATCCTTTATTGTAAATCAATCTTATCCTTAATTGTAACTTCAATCTTATCCTTTATTGTAACTTTAATCTTATCCTGTATTGTAACTTCAACCTTATCCTTTAGTGTAATTTCAATCTTATCCTTTATTGTAACTTCAGTCTTATCTTTAATTGTAACTTCAATCTTATCCTTTATTGTAATTTCAAACTTATCTTTTAGAGTAACTTCAATCCTATCCTTTACTGTAACTTCATTCGTATTCTTTCCATTCTATCCATTATCATAGATTAATTCTTTAATCTTACAACTCAAATTCGATAAAAACGTTAAATTGCAGTTCTAAATCATGATCTTGAATTTATCTATACCAACATTTTATTTTAAGCATTACATCAATATTAAACAAACTATTCTAGAATCCTGAAATCTAAGTTTATAAAATGTTGAAAGAATCCGTTATCCTTGTTTTCCTGGTAGGATCCGTCCTATCCTCTGGTGGATACGGAGGTAGGATTCTGTTTCAATCCTTTTTGAATCCTTACATCTTCTGGGAGGATCCTGCAGTTCTTTAATTCTTTTTCTAGCATTATAATCCTTTTATTACTGCTAGGATACTGTTATTTAATCCTGTATTGGCATTTTCAATCCAAGCATTTTTGGAAGAATCTTGTTCTTTATTTACATTTATAATTTAATTTCCTATTTTTGATATTTTTTAAATTTGTAATCCTTTTAAGCATTTTGAATCCTTGTACTCCAGGTAGAATCCGGGTTTTTCAATTCTTTTTTTTTAGTATTTTTAATCCTTTTATGGCATTTTCAATAATTGTACTCCTGGTAGTATATTTTGTAATCCTATTTTAGCATTTTAAATCTTTGACATGTTAAACCAGGGAAGGCATTAACACGTTAACCTGAACCTGACGTGTGACTTGAAGTGTTAAGTCTGCTAAATACTTTCAACAAAAAGATATCTCTTAAAAAGTTTTAAAACAGATACAAAATTAGGGTTGCAATGCAAAGGGCCAAAATATTTTTAAAAGATTTATTAAAAATATATTTCACTTATCTGATTAGGTGGAGGAGGCCATGGAGGAGGAGGAGGATATGGTGGTGGAGGTCATGGAGGCGGTGGTGGAGGTCATGGCGGAGGTTATGGAGGTATAATATATATAAAGCTCACCTTATTCATAAGATTTCTTGCTCCTCTAGTTTTGATTAACATTTTCAATCGGTTTACATTTAATTAAAAATAATATTTATGTACAGGAGGAACTGGTTCTGGTACAGCCTGCGTAGTGAAAGGCTCGTACTGTAGTTGCCACTACTGTACATGTGAGAAAGGGAAAGTGAACTGTCAAGGGTACGGGGGAGGTGGAAAGGGATATGGTGAGTAAACTCTAAATTAATATAAAAACACATTAAAACATGTTTTTAATACTTTAGGCAAAAACTACTGCTATGGTAGTACAGAGGGTGAGTACTGTACATGTGACTACTGTAAGTGCCAGAACGGGTTCGGAGAGAATGGAGGATATGGAGGATGTGGAGGAGGACATAAGAAGAAATAAGAAAATAAGAATAGGATGAATAATTTGTTTTTAGTTTTGTTTTGGTTTATTATATTTTTTGTTATTTAATAAAGGCGTAACAATACATATGTTTTATACTTCATTAAGAAGAGATATACTTTATACAGTGTACACTGTAGAAGCTGTAAAAAAAGTGTAAAATATTAGCAAAAATAAGATACTTGATCTTTTTCAGCAACATATGCACATGCATTCGCTATGTTGCTACCTTGAGATTATTGGGATTATGATAGTTTTTTGTCACTTCTAACATCTTTTTTTTTTGTTTTTAACTTTTTAAAGATGTTTAAGAATTCTTAAAAGCCCAAGTTTTTCTGTTATATCCACTGTTTTTTTTCCCAAGCTAAAGACTAAGGTAGAACAGTTCGATAAGTTCAAAATTGATCATATTGAGACTTTCTTATTGTGAATATTATTTTGCTTGTATGTTTGTATCAGAGAAACGGTAAAAAAAATATCGATTTTTTTATTTTTGGAAATCCATCAATGTTTTAAAAAGTTTGAAATTTTTCTTTTTACAATATACGAAGAAACATCATGGCATGAAAATGAAAAGCTAAAATCTATTTAGAATGCAAATTCATCCTAATGTTTGGCTTGGCTTGAGTTTGGAGGTAGTAAAAGACCAATTTTTTGTTTTTTATTTGGATTTAATTTACTTTATTCATTGCACCACTGTTTTGTAATCTTTCTTTTCATTGAAAACTAGCTGAAGTGCCAGGCGTTGTCCGTGGAATTTTAAAAATCGAATTAAAACATAAAACTTATAATTTATTTAGCTTATGTCATCCCCAAGGGTATCCATGAGTTTCCTTACTAAAATTCAGCCCATTTGATTCAGCCGTTTGGCCAGCCATAGCAAACATATAAATGAACGAAGAGCTTTATGATATAGATTACAATTGTACTCCTAGTTTTTTTTAAAAAAACAGAAACTTTTACAAGTCATAATTATTTTTTGGGCCTTTGTCCTTTTTTCATTTAATAGAATTTAAGTTTTAGTCAGGTTTTTCATTTTCAAAAACGTCTTTTACTATCTCTAGTTTAAATACTAATTACTACTAACATAACAGCATAATAAAGCCGATTTTTTTAGAAACAATGTTTTTTTCTGTTAGTTTTGTTTGAAGGAGAGATAAAGAATAGTACATGCAAGTTAATTGGACATCTTACAATTAAAACAGGCAGACCGATTAAAAAGTATTAAATTAATAAGATACGAGAAACCAATGTCTGGTTGCGGAGCTCCATGAATTCAGCGTGGAAAATTTAACAGGTCAGAAAATAATAAGTATACGCATGGAAGTGTCTGTTGGTGTTAAAATGTGAGGACAGGATGATAATTCAAAATCCGTTACTGCAGTTAGAAAATTTTCAAACTGTAACTGCAGCTATAAAACTTTAATATGATTATTAAGCAATAGCCGATGCATTGTTTGTAGAACAAAAAGTTTTATTCTTAGTTCAAAGGTTAAAAATGAACAAAATATTCTTGAACAAATTATTGAAACTCTGACCGAAGTTAAGCAGGAAAAACCCGGTTGAGTGAGAAGGACGCGGAGCGGTGGGATTGGCCGCTCTGACGACTAGAGCTGGAGAAACTACAGATTCAGGTGATATCTTTCTCCGAGCGTGAGTTTAGTCAAGTTAAAGCGGAGCTGGGAGCTGACAAACCTTGTATCTCAGCTGTGCTCTCAACTATATCCCAGAGATAGAGAGTTAACTCTGCTCTGGTTCACTACTCACTAGTTTCATACAGTTATATACAAACATTCTAAGAGGGAAAATGTGTGATTAAAAATGGCTCATATCCAGCAGATTATAGAGGAGATTGAATCCACCACACCAACAGCATTAACATGGACAGCAGCTCTACTAGGATCCATTGCTGTTGGATTAAGTGGTGTTGTTCCAATTGTATTAATACCTCTTGATAATAATCCTACACAGAGTCCACATCAAACAGATAAACATCTCAAGCTATTGCTCAGTTTTGCAGTCGGAGGACTTCTTGGTGATGTTTTCCTTCATTTGTTTCCTGAAGCTTATGGAACCTTGGAGAACCGGGGAGATGATTCTCATTCTAGTCGGCTCAATCTAGGGATGTGGATTCTAGGTCAGCTTTACAAATAATTTAAATTCACTTTCAAAAACTTTTTGTGTACAGTAAATCTTATAAAAACATAGACTTCCATTGTTTTTATATAACGTATATTATGCTAAAAAGTGGAATTTAAATCAATATTTTCATTTTACCAGGGTGTTTTTTGGGATTTTTTGTTTTCTTATCCCTATATCTTAGCAACCTGATGTTGTAGACCTTTAATATTACAAACTGTGAATACCTGATGTTGTAGACCACTAATATTACAAACTGTGAATTAATTCTGTTTGACAACAAAGTCGAAGATCGAAATTCACGTTGCGAAGATATAGGAAAGGAATTGACTTTTTGCCACAGACTCAAAAGTTCTAATCCCTATATCTTTGTAATCTTATGGCGTAAACTCTAGATATTTTAAACTTAGATTCTTTGATCCAACAGAATTCATAGTTTGAAATACCCAAGGTCTATAACTACATTGTGTTGTGAAGATATAGGGATTAAAAAATTTGATTTTGTGGCAAAGAATGCCTTCAATCAGAAAATAAAGTTTGTGGCAAGTGATCAGTTTCTTTTATATATATATATATATACTTCGCTTGTTTGTCTGTTTAATTGCTTTAAATCCAATCAATATCAAAACGGCTGAACCGATAAAAATGGCGACTATAAGATAAACAGTTAAAAGCTAGGCATTTTTATTGAAAAAGGCACAATGTTCAATGTTCAATTTCAAAACTAAGTACTTAAAAGATAACCTTAAAGTTGATTAAACTCATCACAAACTGTTTGCATTTTATTCATCAAAGGAATTGAGTTTTTGCCACAATTCAGATATTTTCTAATCTTTACAATTAATTGCGCAAACCTTTGATATTTCAAACTTACACTTCACTATAATTTTTAGTTTTAGATATGAAAGGTCTACGAAATCAGGTTGCAGGGATAAAGGGATTAGAAAATAAATTCATATTTATTTTGATGTTAAACAAAATTTAAAATGGATTAACTATATATATATATATATAACATGCTTACTCATTCACGGTAATTTAGACGTCCAGGTTTTAAAGTTTACTTTCGAACTCTCATCAAATTTAGTTTTTTTTCTATTTTGAGTTTCTGACTTTTTTTGCTCTTTACACTTTGAATATCCAAGTTCTATAACTAAGCTTGGTTTATCACTTTACCCCCCGGACATAGTTATATCTAGTTAGTTTCACGTATACCCCCGGACATAGTTATATCTAGTTAGTTTCCGTATACCCTCCCCCGGACATAGTTATATCTAGTTAGTTTCCGTATACCCTCCGGACATAGTTATATCTAGTTAGTTTCACGTATACCCCCCGGACATATTTATATCTAATTAGTTTCACGTATACCCTCCGGACATAGTTATATCTAGTTAGTTTCACTTATACCCCCTGGACATAGTTGTATCTAGTTAGTTTCACGTATACCCCCCGGACATATTTATATCTAGTTAGTTTCACGTATACCCCCGGACATAGTTATATCCAGTTAGTTTCACGTATACCCCCCGGACATAGTTATATCTATTAGTTTTACGTATACCCCCCTGACATAGTTATATCTAGTTAGTTTTACGTATACCCCCCGGACATAGTTATATCTAGTTAGTTTGTTAGTTTCACATATACCCCCCGGACATATTTATATCTAGTTAGTTTCACGTATACCCCCCGGACATAGTTATATCTAGTTAGTTTCACGTATACCCCCCGGACATAGTTATATCTAGTTAGTTTCACGTATACCTCCCGGACATAGTTTTATCTTGTTAGTTTTACGTTCAAGTCTTCCAAAATTACTAGTATCAGTGAATTCTTATCATTTCTAATATATTTGTTATGTTGGAGATTCTCACTGTACTTACCACGTTGGTGTCGTATTAACTGATCGACGACTCATCGGAATTTTCTTGAATAATTGTCGATCATTTAACAAAACATATTTTTTTATTAAAAATGATCGATGGGTTTATTGTTCCTTTTTAGCAACAAAACAATTGACTGAACTTTACTGAAAATAACACAGATAATGCCTGTTTTTTGTACATTAAATATTCGTTGCTCCCGGTTTAAGATGATGCAACCTCACCAATGGTAATATATGAAGGTGTTCTAAGTCAAGTTTTTCATTTGAAGAAAGATAGGATTTTTAACTGAATTGATGAATAATAAGTTTTTCTTGTGAATCGAATTTGCATTCCATAAATAAAAAATATCATAATTTGAAAGAACATTTTTTCTTACGGGAGTGTTTTTTATGCAATATGTCGCATGCTGAGTCACCATGTTAACTATTGCTATATGCTATTGCTATATGCTGATGCATTATTTGTCTAAAGGGAAGTAGGAGAAGCGTTATCTTTCAACTGAATATATCTTAAGAACTCTATTCACACATCTATAATAACATATATACATGCGATACGGTGGACCCCCAAAAACCTAGAATAACAAAATGAATTTAAGTTTCAACCAAGTAAGAATGCTTGAAATGGCTTAAACCAAAACAGATGGTTCATCCTGTCTTGTTTTCTCATACGCTGGACGTGATTTTATCCCCAACATCCCATAAGAAAGGTTTACGATTAGGTTGATATGTTGCCTTATACTTTTCAACTTTTTTTTGGAAGTCTCTGAAAATATTTTTGATATCTGTAGATTTGATTCTTAGCAAAGTATTACGTCTAATGAGATATATGAGACTTCTACACTCTTGTTAAAATAATAATATAAGTTAGAACTCATTGTGCTCTAGAATTCATTTTATTTTTAAAAATATATGGATTCTGACCTAAGACCGAATAATTTTTTTTCAAGATTTACTGATTTTTTTAAACATATGAAAAAAGGTAAAATCTTTCCCTGTGATATTTAGAAAGACAAAAATTTCCCTGTATGATATTGAAGGACTGGAAAATGGTATTGGTGAATTTTATTTCTCTTTCTTTATATTGAAACTTTACCCTAATAGTTAACTATTGAGATTTGAGTTTTAAAGAGCAAAATTGTTGCAGGGGATTATAATATTGATCTTTTAAAAACAGAAATACATGTTGAAACTTCTAAATATTTGGATACTTTATTAGACCATAATTTACTTCCAGTTATTTCTAAACATACTAAGATAACCCAGTCTACTGCTACGTAAATTGATCACATTTTTGCACAAAATGCTGATGAGAATTCCAAATCTGGCATACTTTTAGAATCTTTATCAGACGTCCAACGTATTTCTTATAAAGGGAAAATATGGAGGCTCGGAATTTTAAATAAAAGAAAACTATAACCAGGGTTATAAATGAGACAAATAAATGAACATTTAAAGAAATGTTATTGTCTCACAACAGGAATGATGTTTTGGATGAAAATCAGCCAAATCAAGATTTTGTCAATTTTTCTAATGTAATAAGAAGATATTATGCAGAATCGTTTCCTTTTCCAGAAAAATAAGAAAACCGTCAAAGATAGTCCAGTAGGCTGTAAACCCTGGTAAGCTCTTTATAAATTCTCGTAAGAGAAAACAACTTCTTTATACCAGAAAACTGTGTAGGCCAACCTTACACAATATTCAACAGTTTAAAAGATTTTTTAAACCTTCATATAACTCTTTGTAGAGGAGCAAAAAGAAATTGGAGCAAAAAGTAATTATTATTCAGCTAATTTAGAAAAAATAGAAAAGTTATACAAAAATGAGTCTAAAAGAACATGACAGACAATATGAGAAGTTCTAAGTATTGTTAAAGATAAATCAAAATCTCCTGAGTATTTATAGAGAACAGGGGAATTTTTATATTGCTTCAAAGTTTAACAATTTTTTTGTAACATAGGACCCAAGCTTTCCAATAATATTTAAAAAAGTAATAAATTCTAATTTTTAAAAAACCCAGTTGATGAATCCTTTGTTTTAAAAACTTTTAATATGGATGATATTCTAGAAAATAGTTTTGTTATTGATAATATCTCAAGCAAACAATTAAAAGAAATTCTGCCAAGCATTGTAAATCCTGTCACACACATTCTCTTTTCAAACTGGGTATATTCCCTTAGAATTGAAAACAGCAAGAGTAGTTCCTATACAGTTTACACAAATAAGATTCTGATTCTTTATTTAACAATTATCGACCTATATTTTACTGCCATCTTTCAGCAAACTTTTAGATATATGTGCTGCTACACAAAGAAGTTGAGTTTTTGCCACAAACTAAAAATTTCTAATCCCTATGTCTTTTCAACTTAATGTTGTAAAGCTTTGATAATTCAAACTTAGATTAATTGATCGAACAGGTTTCATAGTTTGAAATATCAAACTTGTATGACTTTAGGTTTAAAAAATGTTAGGCTTAGAAAATCAGAACATGTTGCAACAACTCAGTTCCTTTTTGGATTTATTGAGAAAAATAAGATTTTTTTATGATTTTTAATTAGGATTTAGAAGTAATCACAATACAACACAGCCTGTTCTTCATTTTGTGGATAAAATATATAACGCATAAAAACGATCCAGAATACACATATTTCCATCTTTTTAGACCTTAAAAAAACCTTAATACAGTATCACACAGCATTCTATTAGAAAATCTTTGGAGGACTTTCTAATCTTTGGTTTACTAATTATTTGAATGGTAGGCAACAAGTGGTTTCAATTGGTGGAATAGATTCAGACTGGAAATATGTGTAGGAGTCCCACAGGGATCAGTTTTAGGCCCGTTGATATTTCTATTTTACATTAACTGTCTGCCAAATCCTGTTGAATTTTTAGCTCTGCTATTTGCTGATGACACGACTTTTAAAATGAGTGGAAATTATATTAAAAAACTGTTTGAAAAGACAAATATTGAACTTAATAAAGCTGCAGAATGGTTTCATTGTAATAAATTGATTGTTTTTAAGCCAAATAAAAAAATGCAGAGTTTTATAATCTAACTCTAGAGAACCCCTTTCTCTAGAGTTAGATTTTAAAACTCTGCATTGAAAAATTGAAAAAAGAAAATTGAAAGGATTGGAAACAATTTTCCGACGAAGTCATTTAAGTTTGTTGAGATCAATATTGATGAGAATTTATCTTGGGATTATCATATTAGCAAAGTTAAAAGTAAAATCTCGTTTGCTAATATTCAAATTGTTAATATTCAAATTGCTAATATTCAAATTGCAAAGGTAAAAAATATTCTACCAATTTGTACTTTAACTAACCTTTACAATGCCCTTTTTAGGCCTCATTTAGAGTTCGGGGTCATGGCGTGGGGGCACGTGGATTTAACGGTTCAATATTTCAGAAAGCTGCGACTTTCGATACATATTTTGTTAACCTTTTTACTTAAATACTTTTTTGTCGGCATATATGTTTTGAATGAAAAAGTATAAAATAAACAAAGTTTAAAGATTGTTGAATTATAGACNGGGGGGGGGGGGGGGTCCCCAAAATCTAAACTGAAAGAGATTACTAAATCCCAGAAAAAGTGTATCTGAAGTATTAGTAGAAATATACTGCACATACTGACCCTATTTTCAAGAAACTTGATATTCACAAGTTTAATAATCTCTTTGAATTCAATTGTAAAATATTTATGCATTCATTTTATCATGGAAAGCTGCCAACTAGTTTTTCTAATATCTTCCAGAAATCAATATTGATTAGAAGAAATAACATTGTTACAAAACTTTGCAAGAAATCTAGTTTACATAAATTTCCAGCCCATTTTCTACCAACACTGTGGAATTCGATAGAAAATAAATTTCAAATAATTCTTAACTCAAAATCCTTATCTAAAAGTTCCTTGTATTCAAACTGTATTTTATCTTGGTTGCCAACTGAATCGGGCTTATCCCAAACCCTACTGCCAGCTCCAAAACTAAAAGTATTAATTATTTTTATTTACACCATTCTTTCCTTGTATTCAAGGAATTGCTAACCACCATGCACAGAATCTGGTATATCTCATCGCTCAAAAGTACAGTTTAAAAAAAAAATAAGAACAAATTCTCGGGCTAGTTTAGTCTGAAGACTCTCTAGTCTGCAAACTAGTTTATGTAATTGTAAATCAAGACATTCGAATATATATGTTCCCTATAGCCGGCCAAACGGCTGGACCAAATAGGCTGAAATTTGTTGTGCGGACACTCATCGGTGGCCGGGGGTTGGTATAGGCTAAGAAAAATTAGAAAATTATTTATTTTTAAAATATTTTTAAAGATTTTTTTCTGTTAATCTGAGGGGATTTACAAGCACAGATTTAACCTCAGTGTATTCAGTATTCATTTGTTCATATTTTAAACAGAGCTAAATTAAAAAGTACCAAGGAAAAGGGGACCAAATTCAAAGAATTTGAGACAGACTGAACTTCCTACCACCGGTTCAAATCGGTGGTTCTTTGAACCGGAAGTAGATAGTTCAGAGACGGAGCTTAAATCCTTTAAATCTCAGGTTATGTTTCCTGAGATGGAATTTAAAGAATTTGAGCCGCGGTTTAAATCCGCCGAGACCCGGTTTAAATTCAGCGCCGGCTTAAATCTTGAAACATTTGATACAATTTTAAGTGGAACAAACCATATTTAAACCGCGGCTTAAATTTAAACCGCCGCTCAAATTCTTTAAATTCGGCCACAGGATTAGACAATTGTTAGCATTATTTTATTACAAACTGTTAAAGTGTTTACAGAGGGTTTATTTTATTTGTTGAAAATAATGAAACAAAGTGAGAAAAAATTCTAAAATATAATTTAGTTTGTGAAAAATTATTTTCCGTCGGAAATCGATTAGGAAATGTTTTTCTATTCAATTTCAGAACTCTATTGATAAATATAGAATTATTACAAAAATCCACTAAAAATAATGAATACAAATTGCATCGATTTGAGATTTTCTACCCAATATCTTATGCATTTTGTACACTACATTTCAACAACCTTTTAGCATAAAACATACACCATGCAAACAAAATTTTGTTTATTCTTAAAAAACGCTTATCCAGTTCTTTTACTCATCCTGTAAATATAGATAATTTACCTCGACAATTAGACTTGATAAAAGCAAAGAAAAATATATCCAATTACGTCGAGAATCAAAATTTAATAAAATTTAGCCATTAAGTGAAAGTAAATATAATTTACTAATATGTAATGACAGTAAACGTCCAATAACTAATATATAACGACATTTATTCTTCTCAGTCGTTTCGTAAACGAATGCAATTAGAGTAACGGATCTTTTTTTATTCTCTTTTAATTGTGACTAGTTGGAATGAATTAAATCTTAAAAAGGAATTGAGTCTTTGTCACAAACTACGATTTTCTAATCTCTTTATCTTTGTAATCGAATGCCGTAGACCTTAGATATTTCAAACTATGAATTCTGTTAGATGAAAAAATCCAAGTTTGAAATATCAAAGGTTTACGCCATCAGTTGGAAAAAATATAGGTATTAGAAAATCAGGAGTTTGTTGCAAAGACTCAATTCCTGAGATTAAGCATTGTTTACAACTGTGCAGTGTAACTGTTAATATTTATTACTAAAATGAAAAATGTTCAAGGTTATCCACCAAGTATAAGACTTCAGAGTCTACATTTCTTATTTTCTGGTTCTCTATAACATCTGTAAATGTATTCCAGTTCTTTGCTAATTATGATGTTCTTGCAATTTCAAAGATTGTTTGCACAACTAAAACAAAGTTATGCTTTTTAATTGGCATTCGTAGAGGTTAAGGTCTTTTTTTAAAGGAAATGTTCGCGTAAAATGAAAGGGGGTATACGACCTTTCTTTTTTAGCAAACACTCCCTTTCAGTCTTATCCTTTATGGGGTAACCTTAGAAGTCTTATCGCATGTTTGAGTTTCCACAAAAATGTTATGATTTTTCTGTTTAGGTGGGATTTTAGCATTTTTGGTCCTTCAGAAGATATTCGAGTTCACAGAGGAGAGAGAAGGAAAGAAGTTGCCTGAACCAAGGAAGAAGATTCTAGGATATCTAAACCTTCTCGCAAACTGTATTGATAACTTTCTTCATGGTTTAACAGTGGCCAGTAGGTAATTAATCTAGTAGTAGACGTTCTAGCTTCCGGAATTTTCTTTTGAAAAACCGAATGAGACTTCAGACACGACTGTACGGAATCTTTACCGTCTATTTCGTTATATTCATGATTCCTTGGAACTGTAATCTAAGGTATTTCTATGCTAAATCATCAAAAAAGACATTTAAGACTATATTCGTAGCAGAGGACTTGATTTAACCTTGAAACCGTTAAATCTTCATCTTAATTATCTTAAGGATTTTAAGTCGTCTTTACATTAAAAATTTAAATTGTACAACTGCTCAAACCAACAACACAAAGATTGTTTTGTTTTGAAGGCCAGCAAATTACGCTAAACAGTTCGATTCGAAACTTTACGAGAAGTTTACAAAAAGTTAAAACTGTTTGGTTCAAGGCTATTCTATGAATAAAATGTAGATACACTATGCTAGATATTACTTCCGGTCTAGTATGGGAATGAACCGCAATGTTTTATACAGAGTTGTCTAAATGTTTATAAATGTCAAATTCAACATGCAATAATTGATTTTGTTACAGCATTGAACATAATCATTTTTTAGTTTCCTGACCTCGATCAAGCTGGGAATGATCACAACCTTTGCGATCCTGATCCACGAGATCCCACACGAGATCGGAGATTTCGCAATACTTCTGCGAAGTGGGTTCACCAGGTATAGACAGAGTTCAGATAAATATTTACAGGGTGTCACACAAAGCAGTTTTGGTAATCAACTAAGTCAAAACGTTCACAATGCAGCAGTCGTAGGACGCAGAAGCAACAAGATACTTGAATTATAAAGATTTCAGTAAAATGTACAACTTTGTCTATCTTTGGGTTGAACCGTCGAGGGTGAAATGAACCGACTCGGCGTTGAAGTCATACGGTTATTATACAAAAGTTTTGTCCACCTACAAACTAAATTTTGTGTTTGATCGTCTCTGAATTTCAATCCTTTAGATTTTTTTTCTATTTGAAGATGGGAAGCTGGTAAAGCTCAGCTATGGACAGCTAGTGTCGGAGTACTCGGAGCCCTGGCAGCTCTCTCCCTCGACTCCGTCCAGTCTCTGGAGGCGAGGACAGCATGGATCCTTCCCTTCTCCGCAGGAGGTTTTCTCAATATAGGTAGATCCTCATTTAATACCATTATTCTAATATGATGTGTGATGAGTGTTATTATGCATGTAAGTTTCGCTAAAATTTATTTTAAAATACTTGAAGAAATCTGAGCCCTGTATTTTTTGCAAAGAGAATAGAATATATATTAGAGGGGAATTTACAAGAAAAAAGTGTAAAACGGCCATTTTGTTGTACTGTTTCCATACTGCAGATGTACTTCACATATTTATGCTATATAACCTTTTGGGCCCTGGAATATCTTTTTATAGAAAATCTCAAATTAATATGAACCAAATTATGAAATAGGCTAGTTTCATAATTGACCAATGATCATTTCACATAGACTCTATGCCTTTCCGTTATAACTATAAATCAAATGATGTTTCTTATTCACCTAATTCATTATAAAGTTTATTTAACAGCTTTAAAAAAATCGAAATTGAAATGGATAGTCTAGGAAACATACTGTATTAATGTACTCTACTGCATATAATTTGTGAACATTTACATGATTTGTATACTTTGAACTCCCTTTCAGGCTGAAAGGGACTGAAAAAATTCATACCGACAGATTCTCTAAATTCCCCTCTAATATATATTCTATTCTCTTTGAGCTTTTGTTTACTATACACCGATACAGTTGATTAGCTTCTTTTTGTCTGTTTTTTTAAATACTAGAAATTCAAGGCGCTTCGCGCCCTTCTTTCTAGCCTTAGAGGGCGCTTCGCGCCCATCTTTCTAGCCTTAGAGGGCGCTTCGCGCTCATCTTCTAAATTAGTTGTGAACATGTTCTCTTTGTGTACATCGTAAAACAAAACAAAAATAATTCGCGGATTTTCACTAAAAATTTCGCGGATTTTCAAAATTTTATGAAAAAATCTAATCGTTCCGTCAATTATAGCAAACTAAATTCAGGTTATTCTCTTCCTTCTGAGACAAATTAAAAGATAAGCCTAGTTCAAATTTACCGTATATATGAGAAGCTTCTCTTACCCCTCTGTAAATAATGCTACGAATTCTAATCATATTCGTCAAACTTTCAGGAAAATAATTTCAAAAATCTTAACTTCTTTCTTGTTTAATCTTTAGATCGGTATCGAATCGTCTTAAGTTGCATTTAATTTAAAATAATTCATTCCGATTTTTGTAAACATGTCACTTTTACTTGCAAAACAATAAACTTAAATCATCATATAAGGAAAGCTATTCTTCAAGGGACAGCAAACAAAAACCAAAATTCGAAGAAAAATTTGTTTGAAAACGTTGTAAACAAATGAATGACATAAAGATTAGAGAGAAAAATACTCACATTTTATAAAAAGGAACCGAGTTTTTGTCACAAACTCAACTTTGCTAATCTCTACATCTTTGCTTCCCAATGTCGTAGAACTTTTATATTTCAAACTATGAATTCTGTTAGACCAAATAATCTAAGTTTGAAATATCAAAGGTTTACATAATCAGATTGTAAAGATATAGGGATTAGACAACTTAAGTTTATGACAAAAACTCAGTTCCTTTCACCATAAATTCGAAACATTTCCCATATTTTTATCCACCAAATAATTACCAGAAACTAGTCAGTGAAATACTATAAACATGTAATATGTTATATAATAATTGATCAAGCATATTCGTGATAAATAAATATATATTTTTAGTCGTATTAATTTCTTGGTAGAGAGAACTGAGGGACAAAGAAGATTTTAGATTTTAAAAAGTTGAATTCGACCAATTAAATGTGAGATCAAAATTATTTTAAGAGAGAGATGTACAACACTTATTGATTTTAACCGGCAAAATCGGGTCCAACAAAAAATTTGAAAAAAAAACCCAAATAGATAATCAAGCAAATTATGTATATACTGTATTGATGTATACGCTACAACCGTTAACTATAAGACTAACTATTGTTCTCTTTAAAATAAAAATTTACATTAATTTTCCATCTTTTTTTCTGAATCTCACTGGTAAAGTTGTAAATAAAGATTTAAAGCCAACTAAAATTGAAAAAAATTATCAGAATTGTTTATAGAATCCCACTTACTTAATAATCTTTATTTATTATTAAGTTTAAATAAACCCTTAAATAAATATTGGAATCTTAGTTGATTTCGAATATACAGGGTGTCCCAATTAACATGGAAATTAAATCATATCGTCTTTGTTCCAAGTGGGATTATTTCGTAAACATAATTTAGTAGTATCATAGTTAAAACATTGAGCACCGAAAAGTACTAGTCTTGGGATTTTCAAAGTGCGGTCTTCCATTTTTTCAGCTTCAAAATTCAAGGAAATATTAGGAAAGTCCAGATTCCAATTTATTAAAATATCCACAAAACTGTTCAAGTGTTTTATATCTCAGTCAATTTAAAAGACATAAAAAGGTAGACGAGGTAGACCATATTTTGGAAAGCTTATTAGACTTACAATCTTTTTTGATGCACTCATTGTTATTTATCAATTATTAGAAATCAAAGACGATATTCAAGTCGTCTCTCAATTCCCATGTTTATTGGGACACCCTACCCTGTATTTGAAATATTGAGACAAAATTCTGAACATTATCCTTCAATTTCAAGGGACAAGAATAGAAATAAATATGCACAAAGAATGATATAATGAGTTTAGAAGACGACTTAATAGCAATACTTAAGTGTATTTGATGTTGTTACAAAGCAAATAGTTTTACTAGTAACATCATATCCTTTAATTTGTAATATTAATCTGTTTGCACATAAACAATTGCCGTGTCTAATGTTTATTTGACTATTTAAAGTCATAACTTAAGTCTAAAACCCGTCTTCCTATTCCAGAGTTTTCTGGTTATCACTGTATCTCCAAGAGCAGACTGTATATTATTTATATAAGTAATAATTCCATAAAAGTTTTAAGTGTGTATTTGCTACAAAATTTTCAAGAAAAAAGGAAAAAAATACAAATTTAGAATTTCAGCGGTCTAGGCTTGATGAACTCGCGGATTACATCATCAGAGACTGCTTTCCTACGCTCCTGGTGCCCAAGAACCATAGGGGTGAGGAGATCAATGAGCTCCTTCTTTAGGAACCCACTGAGGAGCTCTCCGCTACTGTAGTCCTTTCGGATCTTTTCCAACTTAATGTCATCTTCCAAGAAAAACCTAAGGTAAAAATGGAATATTTTTTAAAATATTACAAATATCACACTAAGCAAAATGTAGACTCATGAAAGGGTTTTCGAACAATTTTTAAAATCGGTTGAATACTTGAATACTTGCCTTTTCTCGGTTAAGAGACGGTGACATGGAAAGTTCGGATCAACACGAAAATGCCTCAACACCGAAACGGATAAAAAAGCGGAAACCGATGAAATCCCTCTTTTTTCCTCTTTTATTTGATCAATTTCCCAAAATTTTATATCGATTTATTTTAGTGAAATATTTTCTAGTGAGTTCCCAATATTTTCGAGAGGATTCCCAATATTTTCTATCTGATTCCGAATACTTTCTGCTTCTAACAAAAAATTTTAAAATCACTAGAATTGTTGATCGATTTCCTCAAATTTTTGGCCCGTTTCCTTATAATTTTGATCCGTTTCCACTTTTACAAAACCTTAAAAAATCCGTATTTGTTGATTGCTTCTTTGGTCCGTTTCCTCATATTTTTGATGAGTTTCTGCTTTTTCCAAAAATAAAAAATAAACCCAATTTGTTGATTGCTTCCTCTTTTTTTGGTCAGTTTCCTTATATCTTTGATCCGTTTCCGCTTTTTATAAAAAAACTTTTAAATTCACTAATTGTTGATCGGTTTCCATGTCACCTAAATAGACTACAAAAGAAACAACAATTACTTTCAAAATGTTAACCCATAGTAGTAAAAAATTTCTTTCTTCGGCAAACAAAACCTAAGAAATGACAACTAACATATTGGAAGGATGTTTATAAGATACTGGACGGATGCATCTAGGATACTGGAAGGATATATCTAGGATACTGGACGGATGCATCTAGGATACTGAAAGGATATATCTAGGATACTGGATGGATATATCAAGAATACTAGAAGGATATATCTAGGGNTTTTGGGTTTACATCCAAAATTTAATTTATCTAAAACGTGAAATTTCTTTAACAAGGTTTTCACTTTTAAATATATCGTAAAGTTGAATGCCGCTTTCTCAGCTGCAGCTGAATGATGATTGAATAATAGACAAATAGGGAAAATGCAGGATTTCAAGATAATTTAACCACTGGGTTAAATATTTAACCTCATGGTTAAAGTTCAGTTTAAATTAAGTCAGAAGTGGCATTTAACCATGAACTTAAAATTTAAGTCAAAACTTTTCGTTCTTTAGTTTTAGACTCTGACCTGCAAATTTAAACCAAATGGGAACCCTGAAATATCTATACCTTTAACTTGGTTGTATGTGACGCACTTCTGTATCTTGATAATGTTTTGATAGAAGCTAGGACACTGACCCATGAAGGTAAGATCAGAGAAGATAAAGGTTTTATTTGGATCGAAACCCAGAGCAATTATATCCTTGAGGTTTTCCCAACCCAACCTCTGGCATTCGTCCATCTTTAAATCCTTCCAGAGAAACTTCTCGTCGTCCGTCAACTGTATTACAAGTGGGACATCGAATACGTCCTAAAGCAAGAAGTTTTAAGAATGTGAATCAGCCTTAAACAATATACATTTCAAGTCAGCATTTTGTTGACCAAAAATAAAATTCATGGCAAGATTTCCGCATTGAATAATAATATCATCTACTAGACATCCAGAGCGCTTCGCGGCCATCTTCGATTTTAACTTTTAATTTTTGCTCTTTAATAGATTTTTTTTCGTGAATTTTGAAAAAAAAAGATTTTCAAGACAAATTATTCAAATTCTGATCTTTCATAAACCATCCATGGGGTCATGTGAGGTCCAACAAAAAAATTGGCCCGATCAGTTCAGCCGATAATACGTCTATAGGCTACAGAAAACCAAGGTATATATAGGTTAAAGAATGATTACCTGGAGCCATTTTGTGAACATGAAAGGAATAAGATGACCGAGATGCATCGCTTCACTGCTTGGTCCTCGTCCTGTATACAGGAAGAACTTGTTCCCCTTCTCAAACTCGTCCAGGATTGTGTTGAAATCTCTGTGGGAGAAAAACATCCCTCTCCGGAGCAGATGATGAGCAGGTTTCTTGATCAAGGTTTCAAACCTAGCTAGGAGATCTGAGTCTATTGGAGAACTACCAAACTTGACAATCAGCTTCTGGTAGTCTATTCCCTTGTCAGAGCTGGCCTTTACGTCCCAGGGGTTCACCTCATCCTCATCTCCTTCTCCTGAACCAGCATTTGGGACTTCTGAACCTAAAATCAATTTTAAATAATTAATCTACAGATTTTAAAAGTTAGTTTGGGAAATACGTCAATATTTCTTTGAAACTGAAAGAAAATTAATGTCATGAATACATCTTTTCTTGTCATTTCCATTTACGCCTATTAATGAAAATTGGACAGAAATCAAATACCAGGAAAGGTAGCAACATTTCAGAGACAATATATTCTTAAAGAAAACCGTAAAAAGCAAAAAAAAAAACCTTACTGATGAACAAATTGTAACTTTCTTTAAAAAACTGAAAAACTGCAATTATGAACCAACATTCCGAAAAATATTTTCTCTTAACAAAGTATATATGTTTCTTAAACATAAATTCTTAAATAATGATTCATGTCCTTTTCACATAATCAATGATAAAACTTTCCGAAAACCATAATTTTAAAAACAAGAAAACTCAATTAAAAATTTACCGTCAGTTTTAGATTCTAGGGCACTGAGTCTTTCTTTGAGAACTCTATTCTCCTCTAGAAGAGCAGCAAGGTTGGGTTCGGGTCTACTTTTCTCCAGGTTCCCAAATATCCTGGTGAGCTCCTGGATTTCCTTCTCAGCTTTGTCTGCTCGATCTGAGAACCGAGTTATACTATGATCGGACATTTTTATTTCTGAAATCGATAAATATTATAATTATTCAAGAGAGTGAATGCAATAAAACCACTGCACTCTAAGGAGAAGAGAATTTGTTTAAATCACCAATCTAAAAATCGTATATTAGGAAATTACCCGGACCCGGGATACTGCAAAAAATAATTATTGTGTCNGCACGGGGGGGTCCAAAAATCGTATACTAGGAATATACCAAATTTTAATATTACATACATTTCTGATGCAATAAAATTTCCATGTGTTTCAGGGTGGAGCCAAATTCACAATACAACTTAACTCAACTTATTAAACATTTTTCTATTGACTTTAATAATAGGAGGAATAGGAGTTTGATATTTTTACGTGTAAAATGTGAATAAATGTACGATTGTGCACAAAGTTCACAATAGAACTCAAACTTAAACTGGAATTCTAAATCGTGTCCGCACGAACACACACTTCACACACACAAACACCAGAAAGTCAAACCGGTTCCTTAAGATTAGCCGGGACTAGAGCAGCGGTCCGGTACGATTGATTCGGCTTTATCTGTAGCAGGAGTAAGGCAGGGGCCAGGTATACCCAGCCAGTCACGCAAAAGCAATGGCGAGAGTGAAGAAGCAATATAACATTTCTAAAATAAAATGCAAATTTTGACGCTAGCATGCAATTATTCGTGCAAATTGTGAATGCGTCGCGAAGTTTGGTATTTCTAGATTGTTATGCAGTGATTTTATAATACATTTATATAATGGAACTGGATGAAATAAGATGATTAAGTGAAGCGTTTGATTTTCATTGGAATTCCCGGACCTAGAAACCCCCAAATACAGTGTGTTGGGCTGCGGCAAGCCTGCAAACTAAGGCAGCGTTTGCACAGTTTCAACTTTAAAATTTTGCCTTTTCGGAAACCACCCCTTTTCAACTAATTTATCACTTTTTTGCATAATAAAGTTGTTCCAGACGGAAAATAAGATTCAAAATAATTTTCGAATTTGTGTTTCAAATGCGTAAAGTTTTGTAATTGGAAGTTGAAACTAGTTGGGGTTTGCTAGGTCTGATTTTTTACTGTACTTTGACATTGGTGACTAACAAACCCCAAATTTAAGAGTATTTTAATAACAAACCAATTCGTACTTCAGTACTTCACGTAACTTAATTAATAATTTTATTTAAACTTTAATTAATTTCAGATAAACTGAGCAGGATGAATCCTAACCACCCTCATTACGCAGGGCTGGGGGGTGGTCCGAACCTTAATCTACTTGACAATATGTTGATGGCTGCAGGGTTTCAGGTTATTCATTTGTTATTCGGAATTTTTTTGTAAATTTAATAATTTGTGGGTCGCATTATTTTGGAAAGAATTTGCAGCGGATTTTTAATTTGGTTTTAGAAGTTGACCCATTTACCAGCAGTTATTGAAAAAAGTTTGAAATGATTGCATTTGTACTTGAGTACAAAATGTTTAAGAAACAGAATTGTATTATAGGCGACGGATCAGCCGATAGTTCCCCGGCCCGCTTTAGTACCTCAATATACATACGCACAGGTTACGCATTCTCAGGTACGGTCATCAAGGAGTACACGTCTCCGCGGATTTTTTTTCATCGATATTACACATTTTTTCTGCTTAAAGATTCATGTACCTTTTAATGGAAACTTTCTATAAAATTTAAATCTAAATCTTTAATATAGACATGAAAAATTGAAAATACTCGAATTAAGTTTTTCTGCAAAGTATCCCATGTTATGAGATGTAATGTTCATTTGTACAGGATGTGACAATGCATCAGCATGCTCTAAACCTTGGCCAACCTCACACAACCATCGCCGGTAGCGATCCCGTCCACGTGATCGTGTACCAGCAGAACGAGCACCAGCAGCAGCCCATCAGCTACAAGATACCTCAGCTCGGCACTGTGGTGGCACAGGAGCAGAACTTTGTCGTTAACGACCAGGGAGGACAGATCTCCAGGCAACCTATAGTCACAAGCCAATCCAGGTCTATATCTATATATATAAAGTAGTGTCCGAACGAACCCCCTAAACGATTTGTCTCAAATTTGTATTATTATTTTCGGGTAACTCTGCAGAATCTAGTAAAGGTTTCTAGTTAAAAGGTCTAATTTGAGTTCGTTGACATCAAGTGGGAAAAATGTTAATATAATAAAGATATGTTCAATTGTTTAAAAGATATTTATCGATGAAAGAAGTTCTTTAAAAATTACAACAATGTGTTTGAAATGTTGATTTGAGGTTGTTATTCTCCTATTTATTTGTCTTAAATAGTAAACTTTTGTTAAAAAGTTTAGTTATCAAAAACATTTTAATATTGTGACTGATTTAAATTGAGGTCTATGTTTGATCCCAATTATAACTATCTGAATAAAAAGGCGTTTTATGGAAAAATCCTTTTTTACTCAAATACTCATTTATTTATATTGTAGCCGAGTAAATGAGGCAGGACAGCTTGCTCACACCTCCCAGGCAATTACCCGCCATGTTCAATCCCCGGCGGAGCGGCGAAAGGATATTGTGGCGCAGGCAATGCAAGAGCAGAAGATATTTGAAGAGAGTATCCCTAAACAGGAACCTATAGTAAAGCAGGAGCCTGGAGTAACTACTGATCCTAATGTCTCCAACTCTCAAGATACTAAACCTTTAATAACAGCGACCAAGAGTACACCGGGAGCCGGGGTTCAGGGACAAAGGAAACCGTATCAAAGATCAAGCAATTATAATAGGCAGCAGGTCATGCCCAGGCTTACGGTAAGATATTTTTTTGTTTTTATAATCTAGATATTAACTCATGAAAAATAAGTTTTTTTTTGGATATGGAAGTTACTTCTGGATCCTCCTTGAAAAAGTTCAGTGTTGTGAGCCTCCCCCCCCCCCCCTCACTTTCTGGCACCACGGATAGAATATATCTATTATTACTGTATTTGAGACAATGTGAACAGAGCTTAAATAATCTTCCGTCTCTTCAAAGAGATATTTCATTATCAAGTAAATTATATTAAAACAATCAGCAAATAATTGCTGGCTCAAGAAATAATCAATTATATTTGCTTTTTTCAATTTCTGGATCTGGATTTATTAAGTTGAGAAAGTAAGGATCCCAAACATACATTTCGAGAAAACCAAATGACAATTGTAAAACCCTCGCCCCATTAGATTAATTTTTACATTTTTATTCTACCATTTCTATTTAGATCCTTGATGATGAAGATGACGGGTTAACCTGCAGGCTATGCCTAGCCAGCTACTGGTACAAAGCTGAGATCTATGAACATCTCAAGACGGTTCACAGCATCAACGATCCGGATAAATACGACAAGGAGGAGAAGGAGAAGAAGATGAGGAGAATGAGAGAGGAGCAGCAGAGGATAATGCTCGCCAAGAAGCAGAGAGAGGAGCGGGAGCGAAGACTACGTGATGCCAAGTTTGGTCGAGGACGAGGTACTCCTGGAACTATCAAGTTGACCAGCCCTGGGGCTCGACCTAGTCAAGCGCCGGGACAGAGACCTTCTTTCCAGTATAGAGACGGAGCTTTCATTTGTGATCTTTGTAAGGAAAGTTTCAGTGATGGAAATGATATGGTGACACATTGGAAAAGTCATGTTAAAAAACAGCAAGCGGAGGCTGCAAAGGTGACACGAGGCCGGCCTCCTGGCAAAGGTAGAGGTCGAGGGAGGCCGTCTTTACAGTCTAGAAATGAGTCCAGTGAAGAAGACGATAGCGACGACGACGACGATGACGATGATGATGACGAGAGGGTAAAACACTTCTGTCCTTGGAATAATCATCTAAATTTAAAGTCTTTACCCAAGTATTTAAAATAGAGATCACAACCTTTCCTAACTGAAACTTTGTTCATAACGACTTGTGGATTATTAAAGCAAGCATTTTAAAGTTTTGTTGAGTTGTTAATCGCACTTTTTTCTTTTACTCTAGTGATATTTGGAATGAAGGTTTACAATACTGTTAAGATTGTTTAATTTATTATTATTTGTTTAACCCTATTACCTTGGTTCAGGGTAAGAGGAAGGGTAAGGGAGGGAAGGGTATGCCCAGGTGGACTGCCTACTTACTCTGGTCTACAAGAAAACGGCGTGATGTTGTTGTTGATCATCCAGATTGGTCTTTCGCTCAGATAGCCAAGTGGATTAGCGATGAATGGAAAAAGGTGAAGATTTATACTAGAATAGCTGATGTGCCCGGCGTTGACCGTGGAGAATTAAAAACACTTGAAGAAAAAATAAAATCACTTTGCAATGGATATAAAATTATTTTCCTTCAAGTAAATTTCCCGGCGATGTTTTTTTCCTCCATCGCAACTCTAAAGCAGAAACATAGTTAAAAAGTTTTCCCCAGATTACCATTATTATTCTTATTGTTTAAAGATCGATGCCATGGAGAAGGACGAGTTGCAGAAGGAGGCCGAGGAGATGAACGAACTCGGGATTAGGAAGCTCCCAAGAGATGACGATGGACCAGACCCAGACAAGGTATTTTCAAATAAGTTATCTGTCTCAAAAAAAGAACTGATTCACCTCAATCTCGAACCTGACGTTTTAGATTTTTATTTACTAGTATTTTTTTAGAGCAAATAGTCATAGTTTGAACTATCATAAATCTTGCATATCAGGTTGTAAAGCTATATTTCTATGTAAAATTATTGGTAGATTTTTTGTTTAACTCATTTTTGAATAACTCAAGTAAAAATATTGTACGCAAAAAATAAACTTATTGTATTATTATTATTATTATTATTATATTACTCATATTAATAACGGCTATATGAGAATGAGATGACAAAATAAACTAAGATGATGATTTAAAGATAAATATTTATGTTGGTGATTTAGGACACTACTGATGAGGATTCAGATTTCGAGGAAGGATACAGAAAGAAAACAAAACCAATTATGCTTAAAATCAAGAAAGAAAAGGTGAAAATCTTTTCCGACCGTATTTCTTTTTCCTATTTTTTATTTCGTCTTTGCGTACTGTTATTTAATGTGTCTTTATTTACTGTGACTGTATTTACTGTTTTTACTGTGAATGTATGTTCTGTTCTTATTGTGTTTGTATGTACTGTTTTTACTGTGTTTGGATGTACTGTTATATATAATGTCAGGATGTACTTCACTTTACTGTATCCGTATGTACTGTTTTCCACCGTGTCTCTATGTATTCTTTTCTACTTTATCTGTATGTACCGAGCTCAATTGTATCTGTAGGAACTGTTTTCTACTATGTCCGTATCTACTGTTTTCTACTTTGTCTCTATGTAATGTTTTCTACTGTGTCTAGATGTAATGTTTTCTACTGTTTCTCTATGTTCTGGTTTCTACCGTGTCTGTATGTACTGTTTCTATATATATTGTTTTCTAATGTGTGTGCATGTACTGGTATGTACTGGTAGGTACTAGATATATATGTATTGTATTCTAGTGGGTTCGCATGTACTGTGCGGTGTATAAGTACTGTGTCTATATGTACTGTGTCTATATGTACTGTGTCTATATGTACTGTGTCTATATGTACTGTGTCTATATGTACTGTGTCTATATGTACTGTGTCTATATGTACGGTGTCTATATGTACTGTGACTATATGTACTGTGTCTTTATGTACTGAAATTTCAGGGTCGAGGAGATGACGATTCAGATTCTGAGGAGAGTGATTGGGAGCCGGAAGCTGAAATTATGCCACCTGAGAGAGAGCAGACGAGGTCTGGCCGGCAACGGAAACGGCCGTCATTTTTCCAGGTTAGTCATTCAAGCTTATTGTTGTGGGATTTATTATCATTGGGGGAAATATACATAACTGAGTTTGGGAATTAGAAAATGAGTTTTTCTTTTGAATTTATCATTTTACAAGAAGCCACTTCAGCTGTTAATTTATTTGTATTTAAAAAAGGGACTAACGTTATTTGAAGTGAGTCTCCATTTGTAGATTGGCATTAACAATTCACATCGTAAAACCTTTGACTGATCAAGACTGACTAAGTTATCTTTATTTTGTCCGCAGAAACGACATTAAGAATATATTATTTTTATTTTTCGGGGACCGGGATCTGGAGAAAATAAAAGTCCAACTGTGTTTGATAAGAATATTTGAGTCATTTGAATGGAATTCCTAGGGTACACTCCACTTTCCCGGTAAAGGTTGCAAATATTTTGTTTGCAAGAAAAATACGGATTTCTATTACCGCCGTCGATCATCAAAACAAAAGATTTAAAGGTTACCGTTGAGAATTGATCAAAACACTAAACTTCAAATAAACGTGTACAGTCCCTTTTATAAAGTGTCACAAACAAGATATTGATAATAAATGAACGGACTCTCACCTGAAATCGGCGAGAACGGAATTATGCCAAGGTTTAAGAGCATTTCAACGTCTCAAGGATGAATCCTAATCTGTAGACGTAGCAGTGATCTTGAAGCGCGGCTGATTCCTTTACTAAACTAACAATTTGCAGAACCCCATCTTACAGGAGTTTGAAAGCCAAGAAAACAACCTCGACAGTATCCTGGAACAGTTTGAGAAGGAGCAAGCCCAAGAGTTCGGGAAACCTAGACAACCTAAACCAGAGAAACCTCCGACAGAGAAGAAACCCCGGAAGCCGAGGAAGAGGAAGGAGCCGGTGATCACGCAGGAGATGTTGGAGGAGGAACTGGAGGTGGAAGTCCTCAGATCTGGCCGGAAAAGGAAAGTTCGAAGAATAATGACACATTTCATGGATGGAAGTGACGAGGATGATAAATTAGGTAATATTTTATTATTATTTGTCCTCTGAAAAAGAGAAAACTGTTCCTCTTTTTCTTGAATCTTTATGTAAGCATGGTTTCTTAGTCGTTATTATATTATCGAAATTAAATTTGTAGTTCTGATTAATCCCATTCATGCAACACTATTATTCCAGGACACGGGGCCAGCAGCGACGATGACGACTTCGAACCCCCTCCGGAGGATGAAGTGGCAAAAATCGAGGAGAACGATGATTTGATAGAAGAGGAAGAAGAGGAACTAATGGATGAAGAGCTGGAAGACGAAGAAGAGGAAGATGACGACAGACTACGGTACCATGACGACCTCGAACTACCACCGAAGAAGCGAGGACGACCTAAGAAGTTGTTAACAGACGAGGAGATAGAGGAGGCAACCTCGGCTGCTATACGGACAAAACCAGTAATTGAAATAGTTCCTGTTCCGAGGGTTCCCAAACCTATTACAGAAAACGGAAATCCAACTCAGACTGAAGTACCTGGAGTTCCTGGAGAATTAGGAACAGCAGTACCTGGAGTAGGACAGAACACACAAGAAAACATTAATGCTATTGTCGGTGAAGTTGTTCAGAATGCTATGGAAGGAGGTCTCAATATGCTGCAAGGGGAGCTAAATGAAGTACATTTAGGACAGGATGTGGTCCAAGAAGCTTTGCAGGAGGGTCTTGCTGGAGTTCAGGAGGGACTTGATGTAGTTCAAGGAGGTCAAGAGGTAGTAGGGGTCCAAGGGGAAGGAATCCCTGAAGGTTTGGTTGGAGTTGAACAAGCAGAATTGTTGGGTGTTGATGTAGTATCCGAAGAGCAGGATAGGATGGATGGAGTTCAGGAAGGTGGTTTGGGTGGTCTGGAAGGAGAAGGAGCTCCGGTTCCAGCTCTTGAAGATCTTGGAGAGGACTCGGAGAAGAGTGCAAACACCACAGCTCAGGTAAACTCATCAAAATTATTTTTCATTCAAACTAGTACTTTGGTCTTAATATGCGTCACAGTTAATGATGGAAAAATAGTATTTAAAAAAATCCTTTTCGGAAATTTGACCGATGTGAAAAATTTATAGCGACAAAGTAATTTCTTCTGGATTATTCAATGATTATGTTATTTTCAGGTGAAACCTCCGTGGGTTAAAGAGACTCTGTCTGACTCTGAGGGTGAAGGAGATCCGGAGTCGAGTGATAAGGATCCCAAGAAGCAGGTTCGATCTGAACCTCTTGTTCAATCAATGGCACCCGTGACTGAGTCTTTAAACACTAATGCTGAGCTAAACCCTCCGTATATTGACTCTAGTGAGAAGGAACCTGATCCGGAACAGTTTTCGGAGAATCCTCTTGAACCGTCCTTGCAGGTTCCGGAAGAGGCTGTGAGTGACGGAGTCGATAATTCGGATTCTGCGCAACCCCCAGTGCCATTGACTTCTATAGTGAGTGAGAGCTTAGCTCCGTCTTCCGAAACACTTGAACTGGAGCCTGTCCCAGCCCAAACCCTGAGCGAAGAATATCTGCTCACGGGACCAGCCCACAACCTTGACGATTCACAGTTTAAACCTGATATAGTAGATCCCAACCTTGACGATATATTCAAATGATCCTGTGATCTGATAAGTAGTGATTTTCGAGCTAATTTTGGGTTTCTCTGGAATCAAACGGGGCATTCTAGCCTTTATGTACAACTGTAAAGAGACAGTCGTCTAAAACATTATTGTAAATTAATAAAATACAAAGATATAAGATGCAACAGACTGGTCAAATATATTCTTCCAATAGATGGTTTTAATGCAAGTCTAAGCTTGTTAGATAACGCCTTTATGTTAGATTTCGAGTCAAAATATAATAGTTATCATTAGTCCTCAGTCTTCTCATTTGCAAAGCAAAACTTTATTTCAATACAAATATTATATTTTTGCTCGCGTCTGATTTTCCGCATTAAACCCGTCTCAACTTTCACTTCATTATGTAACAAGACGCGAAAATTGGTAATGTAGCAGATTAATTAGTTGAATTCCAAATGGGAACCAATTTATTGGCGTTTTTTGTTTATTACTATTTTCTGTTTATTTTGTATCCAAATATATGAAAGAAAATAATGTCTTCGTTTTTTTATTATCCTTTAATAATTTGTATGTTATTAAAAGTTATTAAAAGTTATTAAGTGACGGAATTCGATATCCACTGCGTAAACTTTTTAATTTAAAAAGTAGTATTACATTTATGCCATTGTATAGACTATGAAGATAATTTTTGATAATAATTTTATCAGGCTTATCATGGGGCTCCCCCAAATCTAAAATTTGTTTGGAGCCACAAACCGATATTTTAATCGGATTAAATATGATTTTTTTTTATTTTTAAGTTTTCTTTTGGTAATTTACTCGAGATTTGGACGGAATTAACTATTCTAGATCGGTTTAATTGAGAGCTCGTATGCTGTGGTTCTGCAAGTTTAACTGAATAAATAACAGTCTTAAGAAAATCCAGTTTGACAGTACTTTTCTATCGTTATTTTATATCTTTCTGTTGCTCTGTAACCTTTCTAATATTTAGGAATTGATGCGCGTTTATCACAATATTTTTTTTTTTAATTTGAAAGCAGGGTTGAACTTAGTTAATTTAATTTGATTATCTTTGGAGGGTAATTTTAAACTACATGGACTCACTTCAGCCGTTGAATCCAGCTTGGTGTGGGAGTAAAATGTCATTAAAAGATATCATTGCGAAATATTAACTATGTATTACGGGAAGGGGGGAGGGGGGCATGGGAAAACAGGGCTAATACATTTACCATCAATTCTTTACTTATTTTCTCTTTCTTCGACCTGTTAGAGGTGATGCAAGATCTTAATTTTTATTTTCTAAAAGTCCTACAGGAAATCTTGCTATTGATTCCTATATACGCACCATTTAGATCCCTAGAAATTGAGTTTTAAAACGTCTATTAACAAACGAATGCAATTTTTATTAATTCAGATGTATATTGTGTATTCTCAACCAAAAAAATACTTCATGATAATTAAAAACAAATAGAGATTTACAAATGTAACTGAAGTCATATTGTTAATGGAAAGTACAACTGAAGTATAAAGCTAACAGTCTCTTCTGTTTTTCATAGTTCTCTTTGCATGCCCACACAACCCCCCTTCTACTTGACATAGTTGTGTTACATGCACTGAACACATTAATATCAAAGTTCTGAGCGGTTTTTTCTCCGACTAGGGTTGGTTAACGTGTTTGTTGATGAGAGGAGTTCGGATACATCATATTTGCCATCCATCCTCCTACTCTCTCTACTCTGCCTTGGTTTCTCCTCCATATACTCAGCCCCGCTTCCCTCCTCCTCCTCTTCGCTCCGACTCGTCTTTCTCCGTCCGTCTTTATCCACAGGGACGGAGAGAATATAGTTCCCGTATCCTACATCAATAGGTCCGTTGATCTGAGGTCGGAGCTTCATTACTGTTTTCTTTAAGCTGAAAGTAATCAAAAATAATGCTAAATTATATATAACATTTTCTAAGTTGCCTTTGTAAAATTATAGTGCACAAATAATATGTACATTTTTTAAGCTTCTAGAAATACATAAAAAGTAACGAGGGAATAAAATATTGATTAATATTTTATATTGGGATACATAAAGCTGCTTGGGGGGAAAAAATACAATTTCAAACCGTTAACCCCCTGGTTATTAGGGTTAATGGATATGTAAGTTCCCATACCGAATTATGTGAATAAAAGTGTTTGAAAAAGGTCGTGGTCCGCTATTTTGTGGGAGTTTCTAATACTGTTTAATAATGCTGAGATGTCTTATATGTATTTAAAACTAAACTTATATAGGACATAGCTCGGTTAATTATTATCTATTATTTTCTTGTAGGCTAAAAGTGTTGCCAAGTTTTATAAAAGTAAACTTTTACAAAATACAGTTTTGAAATCTTGGAAGTTCACAGTAATTGTGTGTTGCCTTTTAAAAGTCCTAAATCCTGAAAAAATAAACCAAGCTATGTCCCATCACTTGGTATATGTATAGAACGAAGAGGATTTAGGTTGTAATACCTGTAGTTGTATCCGGTCCAGGTATACCAGTTTATCCCATCAGCAAAGGATCGATGGGATCCTCCCAAATACCAACCGTTCAGGTTCGCATCATGACAGTTACCATACCACCAACCACCCTGGGATATTTAAAACTTAAAATATTTTAGGGTGGCTTTGCACTCATAGAACTAATGAGAGGAGGAAATGTTTTGTTTGCATTCTGCTATGACGTATGAGGGTTTTATCGTAAACAACCTACATTTCATAAACAGTAATTGCTCAGGTCCAACTAAGTAGCTTCTCCATTTTTTTCGAATTAATTTGGACCCGTAAAGACCTTACTATCCTCAAGCTGTCAAAAATTATAAACCATGGAAACTTTCGGATATTAACGCGAAACCTTTCTCAACCGAATTAAGAAAACCTTTTTCAAAACCAAGCTCTAAACAGCTTCAGGGAAATAAGGTTTTTCCGGGTCTAAATTGGAAACCCTAGTTACTGCCAACCTACACTGCTCAGGAACACTTAGACTTGCTTATAAACAATAAAACTAGTTTCTAAAATGTCAGCAAAATATAAATCTATCCCTCTGTCCTTGGTTAATTACATGGTGTCCCACGAAACATGACAGTAGGAAGACGATATGAAAGTCGTCTTAGAACTATGAATTTATTTGTGACACGTGTCGTCAATCTACTTTTAATCTATGATTCTTGATACAATAACCACAAAATTCTCCTATTCCTGCCATTTCCAAAATGTGATCTGCCTTTTTTGTTTTGTCAATATTACCGGAGATATTAAGAATTTCGTTCATATTTTACTTAGATTAAGTAAAACCAAAATTGTCGAAATTTGAACGAAATTCTTCATATTTCCGGTAATATTGAAAAAAAGGCAGACCACATTTTGGAAATGTCAAAACACGGGGTGTTTTATGATAATTAACTCGAGAATTTTACTTCTAAAATTAGGTTTACGAATAAAGGCAGCAAACCGTTTCAAAGACCAAAGACGCCAATCAATTTGTCTTGCAACTTTCATGTTTCGTGGGACACTCTGTATTTTCATTAAGATAGTTTAACATATTTAAGCATTTCCAGTTAATTTCATGTGACTTTTCAGTTCACAATGACTTTCGTAATTATGTTAATTAAAATTAAAACCAGAAGCTGAAATTGTAAAATTTAGAAAAATATATCTAAAGAACTGAAACATTTAAATTGTTTTTGGGTCATAATTAAATTTTTTTTTTAAAAACAAGAGAAGATAAGGGTTGAAATATATTTTCCTACAACTGTAACTTTTTGCAACTAAATGTCGCCTGAGATTTTGTAATTTGTTTCGGATTTTTTTTAAAATATGCCCTGAGCTGGGAACTTATGTGTTGTATACCCATAATCTTTAGATTAAACTAATCTGTAGATTAAATCAATCAGTAGATTAAATTAATCTGTAGATTAACAAAAGATAAAGATCAAGCATTGATCACAATACAAGAGTTCCCTGCTCTTATACATACAGGGTGTCTCACGAAACATGACAGTTGGTGAATGTCTTCTTCCAAGATTTCTATATTAAGTTATTTGATACCAAAGAACACGACATCCATATCATAATAAAACTGATTTCAAAGTTAATATATTTGAGTAAAATCAACGAAATTAACAGAAAAAAGTGTTTAATATCCAATACAGTATATGGAAAAAGACATTCAAAACTATTCACCAACTGTCATGTTTTGTGGAACACCCTTTATATCGATGAAATCACTTCCAAATTACGAAATCCTCAGAGATATTTCCAATTAAAAGAAGAAGAAAAACGACATTTATTCTATACTTTTCTGATGACTTATGCATTTACAAAGGGTGTCCCACGAAACATGACAGTATGCAAGAGGACTTGAATGTCGTCTTGATTTTTGATATAATTTGCTGTGTTTATTTGTCAACCTAATTTTAGAAGTAAATTTCTAGAGATAATAATCACAAAATTCCCCTAGTCCTGCCATTTCCAAAATGTGGTCTGCCTTTTTTTGTGCTTTCAATATTGCCCGACATATAAAGAATTTCGTTCAGATTTCGACAATTTTGCTTTTATTTAACAAAATTGAAATCTGAACCAAACTCTTTATATCTCCGGTAATATTGAAAGCACAAAAAACGCAGACCACTTTTTGGAAGTGCCAGGACTAGGAGAATTATGTAATAATTGTTTCAAGAATCATACATGTTAAAGTAGATAGAAGACTAAATGTCACAAATAAATTCATATATCAAAGACGACTTTCAAGTCGTCTTGCTATTGTCATGTTTCGTGGGACACCCTGTACCTTATACAATCTAGCACAACTTCTCTCGGAGAACTCCCCATCCCTGTTATCGTTGTCCACGTCGAAGGTTGAGAAGGGTAGACCGTTGTGGCTGTACATGGAGTCACCGGCGTTCCCGTAGTACAGGTTCTGATGATAGAGACGGAACGCGTCTCTCTCGCTTCCCATCCTGAAGGATCTGTATCTTGCAAACCTTCTGTTCCCGGACCAATCCTCCAGATCTATCGACAACTCGTAGAAGGTGGAATTATCCAGGTTTGTGAGCGCCCAGATAAGAATGTTTCCAAGCCAAAACTCTCGATCAAAGTCTCCGAACCCTACCTTGTAATCCTCCCATCCCCGCATAAAGTTCTCATGAGGTTCAACATCATCTCTCACCTGGAAAACCATCCAACCTCCCCCTTCAGTCTCTAGATCACAGTATACCTTCCAGGGACCCTGAGCAAGGTTTGCAGGATGGATGAGATAAACCCCTGACTTGGTTGCGCCTTGAGTTGCTTGAATATCATGACAGGACAACCCAACGTGAAATGTTTTCGTAAAATCATAGGTTTTCCTCGTTTTCTCTCCAGTAGGTTCATGGAGAGGAAACGATAGTTCTCCGTCTCTTAAATTAAACCCGGAGAGAAGAGAATCCGTCCTGTCGATTTGTTTTGAATCCCTTGAACCAGGGATGTGATTGGGTTCACGAATCTCTGTATATTTTTTAATACTTTGATCTTCGGAATCTTCAGGTTGTACGTTGGAGCTCTCCTCTCCAACCAAACCCTGAAACATTTAGCATGTTTTTTACGCCAACGAACAAACAACTTTTTCGGATAAATGTCCAACGTAATACACAGATAGCTCATGGATAAGATAAGAGAGGTTGTATAGTCGTGATATCCTAAAGATTTTATGTAATGTGTATCTTAGTACTTCTAAGATGAGGAATGAGGAATGAAAAATGAGGAATGAGGAATGAAGCAGTAAGAGATAAAGAAATCTTCTCATTTTTTAACTTTCTCCGCCATAGAACTGAGTCTAGCTCTCCTGTAGGATCAGGAAACCATGAGAAACTGATAAATATCTAACACTGGTGGAGAATGTGTCGCAACTAAATATAAAATCTTTCATGAGTTCTCCAGCCAACACACAATTATAATCTACAAATCATCGTTGAACGGTTAGTCTGTCTCATATATCTTAAAATAAATATATTGCAGTTAAAATATAAACTTTTAACTCTAAATTTAGAAACGTAACCTACTCCTCAAAATAACGTCAATCATGCCAAATAACGTTCCCGTACGTTAAATAACGTTAATTTCAGGGCACATTAACGTCAAACTCTAGCGTTACAATAACGTTTTTACATTACGTAATTTAATGATACACATAATATTTATGTTCCCAAATGTTCATTAATGTTATTGAAAGGTAACATTTTAAACATATTCGCCTTCTAAAACTAAAATGCTATAGGGAGATAATTTTATGTTTATATGTTAAATAAATTTATTTATTACTATCTTAGAAATTAACAGTTTATTGAGTAAATAATCTGAAGATTACACACACCATAGAAATTGTTAAATGTGTTAAATCATTCATTTATAACAATATCGTGACGAAAACAAATTTCTCAGATTCTATGTCGAATTGAAAAGTCTTTAAGAATATTATGTGAACACCATAATTTACGAACGAACCGACCATCCTTTTAAACGTAATGATTTCGAACAAACTAAATAACAGATCAAAGTTTAAAAAATGTGCCGAGCTTTTCTGAAAATAATCTGACAGAACTGAAGATGTGTTGATTGAACCCAAGTTTAGTTTAGTATGAAATATATATTAAAGAGAAATTTGACCATGTGGTGAAAATGCTAAGGGGCATGAGAACAAAGGGATACAGAAGATCATTATTTT